GTATTCAGGCCCATTAGTACCTCCAGTATTCTCATTCTAATCTAACATTTGCTTTTTTGTATTGTGTTTTCCTCTAAACAATGTTGTTCAGACATTTGTGTAGGTGCTGGCAAAAAAGTACATTAGGACCCATTGTCCCCTGTGATTAGATTCTGAAGATCTTTTATTAATATTAAAAGAAAGACTGTACCCCAGTGCATCGGTTTATAACAAAGATATTAAAGGTATAAGCAGCTCGATCCATTTCATATACACAAACAAACATATAAACATGAATGTGCAAAGTATAATTGTCCTTCCAGATAAATACTGACTTAATATAGTAAAAAGGAACAATTAAATTATTGTCAAACTTTATCAATATATGCGTTATTCTTTTTTAAGTTAATCTTCAAGGTTTGTATTTGAATACATAACACAATCCTACGATCACAATCTCTCCTCATTGACGATTCAGTTACACAATGATAGGACGTTTGAGAAAAACATTCTTGGAAAGGCGGCTTCCAACCATAAAAGAGTGTTTTTCTCTACTTCACAACTGAATCAACAAACAGCATTGGAGGAACTACACATGATCATAACTCATTAACATGAAACATGTCAAGTCGGATGGAAAACTGGTTTAAAATTGCACTCAGTGAGGCAGAATGACAATAAATAACAGTGTCAACTTGAAAGAAGACTGTTGCACCTTCAGACTCTTGGAATCGCTTCATTTGACTTTGCCACGAGTCTTCAACTGAGAAAGCACTTTGTCTACCTGCAACAGAGCAGAACAAGGAACTTATACAGTATTTACACAATAATGCACGGTCAATCATTTAATCAAATGTTTAAATAAATTCATAATTTAAAGGTCCAGTTTGAAACATTTAGGAAGGTCTATTGGCAGAAATGGAACATAATATTCACAATAACGTGTATAATCACCTGAAATTCAAATCAATTTATGTGTTTTTTAAATGGATAATAAATAATAAATCAACAATGGTATACTGCTAAAATTAGACATACAATTTTGTTGGCACGCTCCAGTCTCCATAGATAAATGAAGATCACTCACTGTGATGAACCAGTGAGACTGCGGTCCGTAGTGAAGCTGCGACTTAAAGCTCATCGTACTGGCTGGAGCCAGAGCGTGGAGGTGGAGGTGGGGAACAGATGAGAATGGAGGCACATGAAACCCCATCCTGCACAGATTCAATGAAAAACACAAAGGTTTGCAAAGAAATCATCAAAAAGGCCCAAAAGGCCTGTGAAGCAGTCAGTCCTATCTAACTTACTGAAAGTGGAATGAGTCACAACTCTAGTGACGTCATCTCAGGAAACTGATTTACCTGACGTCATCAAGGTCGCTGACTTTATTCTTCTCGAGTACACTTCTTCCCATTTCTACCATCCGCTCCACTATAAACAAACAAGTCACATCATTATGGTCCCGTTATACATCCTAAAAAACTACACTGCAGGACACAGCATTACCACAGGATAGTACGGTACTCATCTCATTCCTAAGGGACAGTATAGAACAGTTTAGAAACATATTTACATATCTATTCAATAATACTGACTGTGTTGGATAGTCCGCCTGCAAATAGTTTGGAGAGTATTTGTAACATTTCAACAGCTTCTGAGTAGAGATTCAACAATTCAACTCTTTCATAAACTAAGGTTTGGTTAGGTTTAGGCACATCTTGGTCAGGGTATATTCATGAATAATCTATTAAACATCTACAGACAAAGCAAAGGTTACAAACACTCTGTAAACTATCTGTAGGCAGACTATTCACATAAAGTGTTCCCGGAAAAGATTTGCATTCAAAATCTTACTTTAGTAACATTTACATGTAGCAGGGTATTCCTGCTCCCCAGGATCTACTCGAATCAGAGAGGACAGTCCCTGATGTCACTGGGATATGTATAGGCATGACTTCTCCAGAGAGGCTTTATGTTAATGTTATGTTGTTACCACACATAATGACACATTCTGGCTTTGCGGACTGGTATGAACCAGAAATTAAAACTCACATGGGTCCAAGCACTTAGTTTCTACTTTCTAGCTTTAGCAATACTGACTGAACTGTCCTCATGCGCTCAAACAATGTGACGTTTTCCTGTAATCAATCAAAGACTGCTAACTTATCCTTCTCTATTAAAATGATACTGATACTGAAAGGGGTTTCCAAACTTTTTCATGTCAAGGTATCCCATTATAGATGCACATTAGATCAAAATCCTCTCAAATTGATTTTGTCTGAAGGAATCCCCTCTGAGCATGTTTTTATGTTTAGTCTTCATAGTCAATCAAAGATCAAACGTTCAATCCCATTTCGGTCCTTGTTGGTCCCCGCTCCCGGACCCCAGATTCAAAAGCACTGTGCTAACAAACTCTGAAACTGATCAAATTCCTCCTTTAAGTCCCTCATCTATAGCACCTAGTGGAGATCCCCACAAGGGGTCGCCAAAGCTTGACAGGGGGTAGCAAGGCCTTCTTGTTTTTAAGGAGTGCTAGAAAACTTTAAAATATATACACAGTAGGCCTATATCTCAGTATTTAGTTCACTTATGTGAAGAAAAGTAAATTGTCTAATAGAACAATGGCCACACATCGTAATCAAGAAAACACTGAATTTGGCAGAAAAGAAGCCTATAAGGTTTGTACAAGTATTTAAAATACATTCTGACAGAGAATTGCATATAAAGTTCCCTGAACAGGAAATAATCTGCTCAAGATTCATTAAAATAACTCATTTTACACAAACTTCCTGCAGTTATTAAGTTCACTATTTGGGTTAATAATGATAATTTGAAATAGGTAAATGAATAATATCTAATAATGAATAAAATTCAGGGGTCATCAGTTTAATAAATTATATTTAAAAAATCCCTTCAGGACAAAGGTTGGGGACCACAGACCCAGAGGTATGTCGTCCCCTCTGAGGCTCTTGCAGTTGTCGATGTGCGTCCTGGTAACAACGAGGTAATGATGTGTGGCGCCGGGCTTCATGTCACGAAAACAAACCAGCTCATCATCCTGTGCACACACACACACACACAGACAGAGGAAGAGTCAGGCTGTTGAACTTCTTAAACATGAATGAACAGTTGGTACTTACTGTGAGCAGGATGTCTGTGTCGGTCTGATTGTCCGCTATCAGGCAGAAAGGACAGTCTTCACCCGAGGAAGACTCCGGAGTCCCCATTGTTGTTTCTAACTTTGTGTCTTGGCTCACAATAAAGCCATGATGTGACATATGAGCTCTGAATCACCGGGGCGTGACGGGCTCAGGACAACCAGCCGCTCACAGAGCTCATCGAGCCCGACCGCTGCGGCGTTCAAGGGAACCGCGTAAATGCTAGCATCAAAGAGTTTAAAGACATCCCTTTAAAATTTAAACTACAGGTTTACTTGGATTCAGATTAAAATAAAATGAAATGTATGGTTATAAATATAAGACTAAGAATATGAGAATATAAACTAATTAAATTAGCCCCACATTCACCAGCCTGCACAATGTTAATGTACACATTTATACATTAATAATTGTAAATCAAAAACATAATATACATTCTTGTAAAATGGGCAATACTGCATGAATACTTACTTACTTTTGGAACTTTAAGTAAAGTTTGATATTAATACTTTTGTACTTTTAATCAAGTAAGTAGTATTTCTACACTGTGGTACAGCAGTTCTTACATAAGTAAAAGATCTGAGTACTTCTTCCACCACTGCTGTGGTTGATAATTACTGTCAAGTGGATATATGTACACATAAAATGCTTAATTAAAGATATAATTTGACATTTTGGAAATTATGCTTATGGTAATTCTCAAAGGACGAGTGTGTAGGATTTAGTGGCATATAATGTGTGATTTAGATTGCGATCCTCCTAAATGTTACACACTGGACCTTTAATGCTAGATTACGAGATGGATACAAAAGGACAAGCTGTAACTATACACACAAATACACACAAAATTCTGCGTAAAAATTATTTAATAATAAGAAATATAACAACAAACTGTTATACACAGACACACAGTGTTCAGTTGAGTCAATCCATTGTTTTCAATAAAAATAAATAAATAAAAATACATTTCACACAGTTTATCTGCTTCATTATCTCATTTAGTGACTCTTTCATAGTTCTGATCTTTCTAGGTGTCAGTTTGTAAGGTTGTCATTGCTGTAGTGTCCAAACTTGGTAAAACATCACACCAGCACAATTAGAGTGCTCTTGTAAAAGCTTCCTCTCCATGTGGCTAATTCAGGTTCAGACAGTCCTCTGAGATGTTTAGTGCTCCTCTGCAATAAAGCTCCTAAAAGTCCAGCTTAGGAGCTGCTGGCTCACAGAGACAATATACAGCTTTCTAAAAGAACGCCTGTCGACGATTTGTTCTTTATTCTCTTCAGTAGACATTCTTCCTGCCAATATAACAACATTCATTCAGATCGGGGCATGGAAAGTAGTATAGTATAGTAGACTTCTGAAAGCTCAAGTACAATAAATATAAATTTCTCAAGCATTGATAACACTGCAACAACCGTAATATTCTTCGTATAAGATAAATAATAAAGAAAAAACAATTAAGTAAGGAATAAAGAAAGTGGCAAAGGGAATTTCTAGTTCTCAGCACTCACAGTTAAAAATCGGTAGGTCTGTGGAAGGAACTTATACTCTGTGTACTCTGAGATTTGGCTGCTGGGGGCGAGCACGTGCAGGTGGAGGTGATCAACTGAAGTGTAAGGAGGTTGGTGGAACCCGAGCCTGAGGAAGACAACAAATCAATGCTCCGATCAGGACACCCGAACCCACCAGAAGAGGAATGAAAGCGTTCGACAAATCACAACCTTTGATTGACTGACTTAAATGTCTTAAACGTGCATCATACATTTCAAACAGTTAACGTTTTTCAGTATTTAAAGCAAAGGTCTGACATTTTAGGAAAGTTACTTATTTGCTTTCAAGGAATCAATGAAATGTATTTATCATAATATACAAAAGGTTGTATAAAAAATTAAAGTTTGCAATGAATAAAAATAGACTTGACTTAACTTGAACCACGCTACCTTTGGACAGGACAAGGCTAGCTGTTTGTTTGTTTTCTACTATTCTAACTATTCCTTTAAACTTTGAAGGGGAAGAAACACACACACACACACACACACACACACACACACACACATACAACCTGTCTTCATTTACCTTATGTCATTCATATCAGTGATCCCTTGTTCATGTAGGACAGCTTTCCCCATCTCAGCCATCCGTTTCACTGTTGGATAAATGACTCAGTTATTTCTCTGCAAAAACCTGATTGAATTTATAAGAAGCACGAAGTAGCTTATATATATATTATATACTGTATATATATCACCTTAATAAACAAAAGCAGTTAAACTAACAGAACAGCTATAGACAGGATGACCAGATCCCAACAAACCAAATGTGGGACAAAGAATATGTTTGTGTGGGACA